TGATATATTAAGAGCCAATTTATCCGTTTCTTTTGAATATTTTTTTCATAAAATACAGCAATAAAAATGATGGCGCGACGCTCGTACATCAGGAATATCTGCCGTATGTGCAGTTCTCGATCTGAGCCCTTACAGATAAAATTATAAGGCCAATCAAACAACAAGGATTCTCTAGACGTTAACATAATTATATATTTTTTCTCTTTACTAGAAGAGTTATAAATTAGCTTTCTATCCTTAAGAAATGTGCACAAGTTGTGACAACCTCAGTCGTATCTTTGATTTCAGGCTATATTTTTATACTTTTTTTTATAATTTTGTTTCATATAGTTTATGTATGCAGGTTTAATGAATAATCAGACGAAAGTCTCGTTCGAAATTCATTTTAGCCAATCATGGTTCATTGTTACAGCTCAAATTTACGACGTATCCTTATGTCTTTCTCTGGAGCATTTTATTTGTTATCATACAAAATTGACACAATAATAATAGCGCGCATTCTCTGATAGATTCTCAAACAGTCACCCACACACAATATGTATATAATTATGTGGGGGGGGGGGGGCATGTGTGTGTGCAAATGGTTGAGAATGGTTGAGAATGTATATGGATTATGAAGAGATTAATTCGAAAAAAGGAGCTAAACACACTTTTGAAGAAAATTGAGTTATTGATATCAGAACACTTGTTTTACTTAATTACCCGTCTTTCAACAAAATTATTTACCTAAATTTTGGGAGCAATTATTAAAAAATGCACTTTCTAATAATCACTTTTCCATAGATGCCTGTACAAAATCTGGTAAACTCTTCTTGTTTCTCCGAAGTTACAAAAATGGATTTTGCTCCTTTTGGAAATAATCTCTTTATATATATGTTTGTGCGTGTGTGTGGGTGGGTGCGTGAGTACACCCTTTCGAAAAAGAACAAGAAAGATTATAATGTAACTCCTGGGTTCGCTACACTGTTATTGTTATCATGTAATAAATGTGTTGTACCTCTAAATGTAGCACAGACTGTCAACTCTATCATTCCTTTAATGCTTATGTTTTAATACATCTTTGTAAAACGTTACATTAATATATTGCTAGCGGTGGACACACCTTCGTTGGATGATGTAGATATACAAACAAAATACAGAATACATCGTTTGTCTTGGGAGAACATGGAGAGAGAGAGAGAGAGAGAGAGAGAGAGAGAGAGAGAGAGAGAGAGAGGGAAAGGGGTCGTAGAGATTCGAATATTTCTATTAGTGATGCCGAAAATGATTTTAAATATCAAAAATACTATTTTTCACAGTGTGCAATTAAATAGTTATTTATTAAAGTGGAATGAAAAGGATTCTTCGAAATAACAAGAGTTTAGAAATTCTTTAGTGATATGAATAACATTGTAGAAACCTATCAAAATCGACAATATTTTCTAGGCTTTTCTCGATTTTTCCTTTGTGTCTTTAATGGCAAGATGAAGCAGGTGGCACTAGATAGCACTGAATATTCAGTTAATATCGTGGGATTAATGCATGCTTATCGACATCCCTCTGGCATGGAAAGGTAAAGGGTACGTTACTTGAGTGTTTCTTAGTTCTTCCTTATCAATAACTAGGTCAGGTACAAATGAAGTTGAAACATTTAAATGAAATATGTAAACGAGGAAAGGGTGTTCGAGAGAAAAAATATATCCCCAGAAAATTATTTGATTAATTCATTTTTTTCTCCTCCTTTTCAAGCGGACTTCTCCGCCTATTTCCTGGGGCCTTACATAGCCCCCGATTAAGATGTAGCGATGAGGAGTCGTGTGAGTAAAGAGAAGGAAATACCTGGCTAATCATAACAAATGATTTGCATACGATTCCATCTAGGCTGTTTCTTATTTGACCTCACCGAGGAGCAGTAATCGAGAGTTTATCCGAATCAACTTTGCAAATCGGGCTACGTCGTTTCAAAAGCCATACAAATTGGTATTTTGCTGCGATTATAACTTCTGGTTGGAGGTTCGTGCGTTACTGGGCATTTTCCCTCTCCAAATCCCTAATCTCGCAAAGCGTTCGACGGGGGACAACATCTTTCACATAATCTCTCCTGTTTTCTCCTTGAAAAGTTCGTTTCCCTTGATTTCTGTCATTATTTGTCCTTAATACCCTGTGCTTGAGACGATCACAAAATATATATATTGTAATTTTACAAAGATCAAAGTCAATTAAAAAAAGTTGATGGTAGTCTTAAAGCGAACTCTCGTGGATTTAGCTGAAGTGAATTAGTCACAGATCCATAATTAACGTTTCAATTTCGTCAAGAAATTGATTTGTATCTATTTTGCAGAACAGATAGATTGAACGGGAAGAAACATTGATATTTTGTCCCTATCCCCCAACCTCTATTATTAAAAGTGAAGATCTCTAACCTGTATGTGAGAAATTCTGTTTGCAATTTGAGTTAAACTTACTCGCTGGGGTTTTATTTTCGTATTTACATTTCGAGGTCATGATATTGACATTAGTT